CGAAACGAGGGCTGAAAAACACTGCTCTAGGGATTTACTTTCCATGCCCTGGGCTTTCCATGCACAAAACGTAGTGGCTGAAAGGAAAGGCGTTGCTCTCTGCTTAGAAAGAAGTGGCCAGGTGCGGTTCTGGAAGGAGGGGAAGGCTGGGGTGCTTCCATCTGAAGCTTTGGGGAAAGCCACCGTGAGTTTATGACAACGTCTGAACCTCCTGGAGGGATTTCGGAATACCAGCTTGCAGCTTCAAAATACCCTCCGCGTGGACCCCAGAATCTTGCAGACACCCGGATTTGACTTGGGTGATTCCTAAATAGCCAGACCAAGGCTGAGTCCACAGTCCCTGACCTCTAGGAGAAGCAGAGAAAGTGGCTTGGACTAGGACCTGGCCCAGGGCGAGAGTGAGACTCTTCTGCAGGCCTTTCTGTCCCCACCAGGCCTCCCCTCTGTGCTTTGGCAGACTGGGTGGTGTGGGGGTCACCAGACGTACCCCAGCCTGCCTTTGCTTATTAGATTCAGTCCAATAGAGTCTGTCCACTCGGTTCCCCTGGCTTTTCCTAACCCATCAGCTCTCGGCTTGTTCTGCAAGACCGAGCTTCGGTGAGCACCCTTGCGGGCGACCTATGAACCTCCCTGGCCCCCCCCCATGTCCTTATTGTATTTGCCACATCCTGCCTTACGTTTTGGCTCTTTGTGCATGTTGTCTTTTTGTTTTATTTTATTAAGGTATAATTTACACACCAGAAAATTCATGCATTCTCACTACAAATTAAATGATTTTCAGCAAATTTGTTAAGTTGTGCAGTCATCACCACGTGGGGCCCAGCTTTAAAACCTTTATGTCACCCCAAGTTTGCTCTTGCCTGCTTGCATTTTCCTCAAGTCAGGCCCCACCCACTGCCAGCTCCAGGCAACCTGCTTCCTTTTTCTCTAGATTTGCTGCTTCTGGACATTTTATCCATTTTTTTAAAATTTTATTTTTGTTTAAAATACTACAGATGTCCCTTTTTCTCCTGGACATTTTATATAGGCTTTTATATCTTGCCTTTTCAGTGAGCATAACCTTTTTGAGATTAATCTGCTGTGAAGCAGCTATTGGCAGTTTGTTTCATTTCGTTGCTGAAAACTATTTCCTGGTGTTAGAATTTAGTAGGTGTTGGATTCACTGGATTGGGTTAGTATTGGATTTACGGATACACCACATTTTGTGTATCTGTTGTATATATGTTTTCAAGTCTCTTGGGTAGATTGGGGGTGGAATTGCTGGGTTATGTGGTAAATATATATACTTTCATTTATATGCTTTTTAGAACTGCCCAGTGGTTTCCCAAAGTGGCCGTAACCATGTCATCTTTTACATGCCTGCCCGCAGTCTAGGGATATTCCTCCACCTCCTCGTGAATACTTGGTATTGTCTGTATTTTTTTTATTATATCCTTTCTGGTGGAACCTTGTGATTTTTATTTGCATTTCCCTAAAGACGAATGATGCTGAGCCCCTTTTCAAATTCTTATTAGACATTTCTATGTCTCCTGTAGCAAACTGTCTCTTCGAATCACTTGCCTGTTTTTAAAACCGGGCTGTCGTTTTTATTAAGTTGTAAGGTTGGAAGAAAGTGTTGTTCAAATCATCTTTGTTCTCACTGATTTTCTGTCTAGTTGTTTTATCATTTACTGAATGGGATATTAACAGCCTCAGCCATTACCATGGAATTGTCTGGATCTCCTCTCCTTTTGTCACTTTTTGCTTTGTGTGCCATGGGGCCCTGTTACGAGGTTGGCTTTCCGCCTGTCATTACGTAATTGTTTTATATCTCGTGTCTTTTTAGTTCCTTTGTTCCTTCTTTATTGCCTTTTTCTGTGTTGTTTAGATATTTTCTCATGTTTCTTTTTAATTCCTTCTCACCCTGTGTTATGAATTATTGTCATGTTGATTGCACCTACAAGCTGCATTTTAAGTTACCACAGCCTACTTTAGATTGGCACGACCGTATGCCTATAAAAATGGAAACTGCCCCAATATATAGCTCCATTTCTTTCCCTTCCTTTGTGCTACTGTGATGTATATATTACGTCTATATATGTTCTGAATTGAACAAGGCAGTGTTAGCTTTATGCAATCCTGTGCTGTGTAAAGAAGTTAAGAGGAAATCTATATTTTTATTTCTTAGAGTGTGTTTGAATTACTGTGTGGTGTCATTTCCTTTCCACCTAAAGGAATTTCTTTCTTTTTTCTCGCAAGGAAGACCTGCTAAGCCATGAATTCTCCTAGTCTTTGTTTCTCTAGGAATAGCTTTATTTTGCCTTCAATTTCAGGTGATAGTTTTGCTAGATATGGAATTCTTGGTTGACTGCACCGCTAAGTGTGGGGTTTTTCAATCAGGTGGTGATTGTTGATCAGCACCACTAAGTGTGGGTTTTTTCAATCAGGTGGTGATCTTAGAAAGATTTAGAACAATTCCCCACCCTCCAACCATGAGGGTGCTGATCTGCACGGCCAGCCTGTCTGGAAGAACTATGGTGACAACCAGCAAGGAAGGGGCCTGGAAGTGAGGGACAGAGCCCAGCGTCCCACTGTCCTTAGCAGAGGCCCAGAACGTTGTCATGAATACGTGCTCCTGAATGTGTTGTATATTTTAGTTGATTTCTAGAGTCTTAAATGGTTGCTTTTGACAGTTTTATCATTGTTCTTTGAGGAGAGGGTTTGTCCAACTTCTCACAATGTCATTCCAGCCCTATTTTTTTCTTTCCGCATCTTCCAGAGAGGAAAAATCGTGTGGCAGTTAGAAATATGGACTTTACCATCAGATAGTCTGGGCTCGAATCCTGGCCCTGCCACTTGCTACCTATAAGCTGCTGGTCAAGGTACTTAACCTCTGGGCCTCGGTTTCTTCTTCTGTAAAATGGGGATGATAGTGTTTCTGTCTGATGGGGCTGCTGTAAGAATGAAGTGGATTGATGTGCACTGAGTGAAAGGGGCAGTGCTTGGCAAACTGTAAATGCTGTAAAATGTTAGGTGTCATTGTCAGTTCAGTAAGGGCAGGGTCTGTATCTCATTTAGGACTTTAGCCGCCAAGTCCTTGGCCTGGTGCCCTTGCGTGCAGTCAGCCCATCGGACCCTCGGATCATCTTTACTAAGTGATGCTTGAAATTCAGATGAAATGAAGGTAGCATTCAGGGTAACCTCAAGTGCAAGGAGGAAAGACCTCAGGGGACTAAGAACAGATGGCTCTGTGTCTTGTTGGGGCCAAACATTGGTCAGGCTTTGTCTTGGGTTCATGTGTGTTTTTCCTCCCAGCCCCAGGAACTGCCGTATGGAGTTTCAAACCAGGTCTGCACACTTGTGTTTGCAAACAGTTAGCACAGTTGCTACCATTTCAGAGGTTTCCTCGCATCAGAGCAGCTTGGCCATGATGCCTGGTCAGGTACTTGCACAAAGGGAAGGCCCTGGGGAGCTGTGTCCCCCAAGTCTGTACAGAGCCATCTGCCACTTTATTCCCCCCGTAGACACCCCTGCAGTGAACATAGTACGGGGTGAATTCAGTTCCCACTCATCACCTGGGTGCGACACATTTTACAGGAATGTGTGTCCTGCGCAGCTGTATGCAGTGACCTGGCGTGGCCACCACATGCCCTGTTCTGTGCCCAAGAGCAGGACTGCAGATGTAATAAGACAGCCATTGCCTTCAAGGAGCTTTCAGCCTTCACAGGGGGTGCCAGATGTGCCAAAATAGCGATGGCCTTGTGGGCATCTGTACCAAGTACCATGTTGCACAGGAGAAGGCGGAGGCCCGGAGGGCTCCCAGAGGAGGTGGCCTTTGAACCGCCTGCTGCGAGATAAGTAGGGATTTCGGAGGCGAGGGAAGTGGGACAGGTGGTGTTTTGGCCCATGGGGGTGAGAAAGATCCAGGCCAGTGCACATAGGGGTGAGATTGCTGCAGGAGGCAGGAGAGAGGCAGAATGGGCTCAGTCTCGGGGGGTCTGTCACCCCGAGACAAGGGGCTCGGGCTTTTCCAGGTGGCAGCGGGCGTCACTGGAGAGTTTTAAGCTGAGAATCAAGTAGGGATGGGTTGAATGAGGTCAGACAGGAGAGAGGACAGTGACCAGCGACCAGTGGCCAGTGCAGCTTGCACCAGCTGGCTCGGGCTTGTCACTGAGGCAGGAGTGACTGTGCCTTGTTCGCCTTTGTGATAATTGCATATTTTCATAGTTGTTATCTCTGTTACACTGAGTGGGTTGGGGACATCTCCAGCCCCTGGACTGGTTCCTGTTGGGGCGCAGGTACTCAGTGAGGGGTCTCTCAGCTCCTCTGACAGCAAGCCCGGGCCCTGGGCCTGCAGAGAAGCCTGGCTCAGTGTGAACAGTGCTGCCTGGGGAGTGTGCACACACACACACACACATGCATCCTTAGTGTGTCAGGCAGAAACCCCTTTCTTAAGGCTATGTCTGGGCCTCTGTGTGTTTTTGTTGAATGCCCAGGAAATCATGTCATTCCTATTGTTCTCGAAGTCTCTGTAATAAAAGAGACCTGGCTGCACGTAAATTGCGAATTGAAAAATAGGCTGAAGTTGTCGTGTGAAAGATGCTAAACACAAGCTATTAATAATCGCCAGCCCGATGGCAAACTTGCCGATGTGACATGTACAGCTCGGTAACCGAGTGGAAGAAAATGCTATTAGTTGTACCCAGAAGAGATGGGGAAGTTTTGTTTTTCTATGACAGACCACCAAGCTATAGAACAAAATCAATCATGAGATTTATAAGTAGGAAGCAATTAAATTTAGAGAGTTTTTTTTTTTTTTTTTAAGAGAATCATAAAATGTTAGACATTCTGGTAGAATTAACCGAACATAAGATTTCACTAAATATAAAGAGCCATAAAAAATATGCTTCCGATGTACTTTAGGGCCATTCAGGGAACAGAGTTTTGAGGAGACTAGATGGATGTGAGAAGCTAAGAAACCAGGCGGAGAGGGGACAATAGTCTGAGAAAGATGCGGTGAGATGGCGGTGGGGACAGAGGGACAGAGCCCGAGGAGGCCTCTCTAAGGACAGCCGGCTGAGATGCTGACCCTCAGGATGACCCGAGGAAATGATGGTCCTTCTGTTCAAGAGCCAGGTCCAGAGGAAGCCGGTGGCTTCTCAGGACCCAGCTGCAGGGATGGGCAAAGCCACTTTGCACATTTGCAACCCCAGGCAGAACTGCAGTCACAGTGACAAACCTTGCACAGGGTGTTGTCCCCTCCTTTGAAGCTTGTGGCAGACCGTGGGGTCAAAACTGTCACCTCCGTGCTGCACACAGGAAAAAAGAGTCACAGGCCTAAGGTTCAGGGCTGGTGTGTGGCTCTCAGAGCCTCTCGTGGTCTCCATCTGGCCTTCCTCCTGTCCCCTCATGCATGCTGGTGCCTTCAGTGGGGGCTGCAGTCCAGAGTCATGTCTAAATTAGAGTCTCCATATAATTCTTACTCTGCTTTTAAAGAAAAACAGTTGTGAAATTGCACCCCTGTGCCTGTCATGTGGTCATAATACAGGCTAAATCGTTCCACCGGAAATAAAGTGACAGTGAGTGACTAGCCGGCCTGTGAGCCAGGCTGGGGACCTGTTTGCCACCAGGGCAATTACAAGAGGTGCTTCAGTGTCATCTTCTGTTACCTGGTTGTGCAAACTTGGGCCCTGGATTGGCAAGTGACTGTCCCGTGTGTGCCCTTTCCCCCAAGCCTAGAATTACTCAAGGAGCTGCTGTTCAGATGGAAAACAAAGCCCCACTATGTGCCTCCCAGAAGGAAATCGCTGCTGCAGCTTCACTGGGGACAGTGCTCCCTGGGCCTCTGTGGTCAAGCCCGTTGCTCCTTTACTGCAAGAGGACAGGGCCTTGGCCCATCAGAGAAGAAACTGAAGTTGGCTTACAGATCACTTTCCTGGATTAAAAAAACAAACAAACTTGCCTTAAAGTTGTGCCTGGAATGACTTTTTTGTGTCAGCCACAGGAGTGTTTTCACAGACTTGTTATAAATGGCCAGCGTTTTCATTACGGACATGAAATAACATGATTTCCCAAACTGGATTGACAGAGTTTGGGGCCAAATCCAGCCCACTGCTCGTTTCTGTTCAAGTCTGATTGGAGCACAGCTATGCTTATAATTTACAGATTGCTGCTTTTGTGCTAGGATGTGGAGAGGAGCTGGTACTGAGAGCATGTGGGCTGGAAGCCGAAAATATTAACTCTCTGCCCCTTTATGGAAGAAAAAATGAGCCCACCCCTATTCCAGAACCTTCCTTGGCGTTACTGCAGTCTGACCTGAGGCTCATGTCTCCTGGACTCCTTCCACGTCTGCTCCCTGACATGGGCCCCGCTGCTGGGCATGTGGTTTGAGGCTGCAGTTTCCTCCAGGTCCCCAGGGGCAGCCTGTTGGGCTCTGTCATGTCTTGTGCCCCTTGGAGCAGAAGGGTTTTCTTTAGAGGCCTCTTTCTCGCAGACAGACTCCCTCCTTTGACGTCCTGCCAGCATTGCCCTGCTGAAGCCTCATTTCTCAGCAGTACTGTTGAAATAGCTGCCCAGGCAGTTTCTTCTCACTCCATACTTTGCAACAACGCCAGGATAATGTTGCTGATGGATGGCTCCTCCTCAAGAACCTCCCTTGGCTCCCCATTGCCTTCCAGATCAAGGGCCTGCCTTCAAGGCCATTTTCTCTCAGCTGACTCCTCTCAGCTCTGTGTGGTCAAAAGGTCTTTGCTTTTCCTAGGGGTTGTCTGAATTTTCCTTCGGGCGTGCCAGGCCTCCTTCCACCTCCGATCTTTGCTCTGGGAATGTCGAGGCACCCCCTTGGCTCCCCCAAATCTGTTACAGTCCAGTTCACCCGTGTTGTCCCGTGGACGTGCTTTTCCCCAGCGCAGTATGTTCTGATCCCCTCGAGCCCTTTGCCTCTCCAGGCCCCTGAATTAGAGGCTGTGTTGTTAGTTGATTGTGTCTTTCTGCTCATCTCAGACTGTAAAGTGCCACAGGCCGGCACTGTGTCCCAGTTAGGTTTCTTGCCTGTGCCAGGGAGCAGGCATTGTGCATGGAATAGAAAACAGAGCACGCACACCAGTGCACCTACTGTGTGCCAGCTGCGGTCGCGTAACACGCACTCAGGCATCATAGTCCCGCTGTGCAGATGTGGAAACAGGCTCAGAACCATCGACTCGGCCAAGTGCTGTCAAAGCTAGATTTCTTCCCCGCTTTTAAAAAATATTTTTAAATTAAAGCTTAAAACGCGTGCAATAAAATGTGCAAAGTGGATACATCGTAAGTGTTTAAGTCGCTGCATTATAACATATGCACATCTGTCAAAGGCAGATTTGAACTCGAGGCTCCCCTGCTCCAGTGCCACACTGATGGGACCAGGCTGCACTGTTGCAAACATCACGTATGTGCATCCATGCAGTGTCTGTGTGCACACACACCTCTGCCTCCCTGCCTACTGGGGTCCCCCTGGGGAGCTTCGAAAGGCCTCCTGCCCGGGCCCAGCTCACAGGGTACATCAGTCTTGGCTGTCGTGGGGGTGGAGAGGCAGGTGCTGGTGCTTTTCAAAAACTTTCCAGGTGATTCTGCTTTAGGCCCAGGCCCCCCGCACATGGGTGTAGGGAAGCCAAAGGGCTCACGGGAATAATTCCAGCTCCTGGTGCTGCTCTGAGGAGCTTGGCGTCTGACTGTGTCCCTGGCAGCCTGACCCTTTGGGAGGTGAGCAGGGCTCATCTGCACCTGCTGTGGTCTCTGGCGCCTCGTGTCCTCTGGCATGTGTGACGGCATGACCCGACGGCCTCCCTTTGGGGCTGGACCCCCATCTCTGCAGCTGGCCTGACCGAACCCCAGGCACCTAAGAGGTGAGCCTTTCCCAAGTGCGGCCTACCTTCCCCATACAGGGCAGTTTCTCTCTGAACGGAAACGAGGGGGTGCCTTCAGTGGGTATCTAATTTTTAAAAAACTAACTTTTTTTTTTTTTTTTTACCTTCATCTGAGGATATTTTTCCATTTATTTTATTTATTATTATTTTTTAGGGAGAGAGAGAGAGAGAAAAACATCGATTACTTGCCTCCCCATGTAGACCGACTGGGGCCGGGATCGAACCTGCAGCCCAGGTCCTGGGCCCTTGACCGGGAATGGGACCTGTGACCTTTCGGCCATCGGGTCGAGATGTTCTAACCACTGACTCAGACCTGCCAGGGCTAAAAAAAATAAGCTCTTTCATCCTGAGCGGGGTGGGTTTGCTGTAGAGAGGGGCCGGGGGGGCTGCGGTTCCCAAAGCCAGACGCCCTGATCAGCACCATTGGCATCACCCGGCGCTTGTTACAACGATCAGCCCTTAGATCATTCCAGAGCCGCCCATCCACTCCCTCTGGGGTGGGAGCCCAGCAGGCCAGAAGCCTCGGGTGACTTTGCTGCCACCCAAGGATGACAACCACAGCTCTGGGGGGACCCCTGCAGTGCCAGTGTGTGGTCCTCAGTCCCCGGTGGGCATGAGACCCCTGGAGCTTTATAAAACCTCAGACTCCCGGCCCTCCACTCAGGGTTGGGGACTCTATTTTTTACCAGGGGTTCCAGGAGATTTTGAGATGCACCCCCCCCTTTTTTTTTTTTTAATTGTGGCAGTAGAAACCTGATAACTGTTGCATTCTTTTAATAACTTCATATTTACTTGGCACAGGGCAAGGACACTCCCACTTTTGTTTTCCTCCTGGGGTTTTGTCTCCTTGGTCTCCAGCGATCAAGATGTTTTCCAGTAGTTCTGAAGGAAAGACGGTCGTTCCCATTAGGACCCATGTCCCTCGAACAAAGACGGATTGCTCACTGCCACACAAGAGCCACAAATGGGGGGTGTGGCCTCGTGCATGCTTAACCCCATCTTCTCAAAATTGCATTTTAAGTGACTGAAGACATTAGCTTGTGACCTAACTGATCCTTTCCTGAGGCTGAGTCACGGAGGCGAAGACCCCACTTATTCCTGTCACCCCTGCAGGCCGCCCTGCCAAGAGCAGGCTGCAGGCACAGGCGTCAGCTCTCTCTCTCAAAAAAAAAGCTGATTATTTGTCTTTTGCCCACAGCTGTCTCCATCCCTCCACCTTTATCTGTCATCATAAATGTCCACACCTGCGTGATAGTTTATGACAGGGCACACCTGCTCAAAAGGAGCGGTTGTCGTGTTTCAGATATGCTGCCAAGGCCGGGTGTCGTTAAGCCTCGTGGCAGAAATGAAATAGGGCTCTGCTGTCCCTTGTCCC